TCGGTGTCGTGACCGTGAATGACGTCGTGTCGGCGTCGAGAAGATGTTCACACACGCTCGGAATGCGTCTGTAGAGAAACACGCTGCCCTGAAAAGTGAAAATCAACTAATGACNAAAAAAAAAAAACAGAAAATGGTTCAAAAAATTTAAAATTAGAACCGATGGACGTTTACGTTACCCGCTTTGGCAGCGAGTTCGTCTTACCATTGGAACCCTTGTGGCTATAGACCGTTCTACCAGTATATTTTAAGCAGTTGCTACTGTTAATATTAATATTGACTATTTACCTAGCCTCCAGCCAATTAGATGATTTCCCATGGGACTATATGCAGCGTTTAGCAATTCCAAAGTTACATAAAAACCAATGTTCTAACCGATATTAGGCAGTAGAAGCATTTGAGAATGGGACCTGGAACCTTAACATTGTGGGATCGAGGATATCATACGCGGACTGGGAAGAAATGCAAACTAATTCGTCTCTTACTATATCATTTTCATTTGCCTCAATGTAATACATTACTATTAAGGCCTGTACAATCGAGTCATGTAATACATCCTAGGTAGCTATAGTGCCTTTATACCCTAACATCGGATGTCCACTTGTGCTTATGCCAGTTATTCGCTTACTTATAGCCTCCCTCCTTACAATTTCTATGTTACTTTTAAGTTTAATAAATGTGTTAGCTACTCTGTGCATCCTTTGTATGCTGGATCAGGTTCTGAATATTTCTACTGCATGTCTGTTTCGTTGCGGTTTTACAATTGGTCCACAATTGATAGAGTGATTGCTCTATTCCTCCAGACATTAAGGGAACGGTACCTAGGCGGTTATCATTTACTTCCGAGTCTACATCAACGCAGAGGGTTCGTCACTGCTAGTTAAAGTGTTGTCAATACTATGTAATGTGAAATACTGTTAAGGCCTGACGACGACCTTAAAGGTCGAAAGCTTGCTGGATAAAGATATATGATATACATGGAGTTGCAATACCATTCTCAACACCTTGAAGATTACAATGCAACTCAGAGATAGAAGCATCCTTAGATACTTAAGAATACCTGAGACAGTTCGTGATTTCGCTATTTTAAGAAAGCAGCCTTTATTTATATGCAACACGCTCGACGTCTCTCAGGCCACTTATTCACTTACTTATCTTCTCTTAATTACAATTTCTATGTTACTTTTAAGCTTGTAATCCCTGTTTTTTTTGTATACTGTGTCAGGCCCAGAATATTTGTGTTTCATGTCCGTTTCGTTGCGGTTTTAGCACCGGGCCGAAACACCCAGGCTGACTACTCCCTCAACTTAACGTTAAGGAAGATAGCTGAGCCGTTGTCTGCTACCTGCAGGATACATAAGATAGTTCGGGACTCCCCTATTTTGAAAAATGCTGTTATTATTATTTTTTTTTTGCGTCGCACTCAACCTTTCCATCAGATTGCCTACGAGTTCCTTATTTTGTTCTTGCTCCTTCGGTAAAGAACGTTACATTTTCCCACAATCCGTCTGTCAGGATTTTCTCAGTAAAATACACTCATAGCATAACCTGTTGCTTGTTTTCCTCAAACCATGTATGAGTATCACAGACGGGTCAGTAATACCTGGAACGCTTGGCTCAGCGAAGGGATCAATCAAACGGTAACTTTACAGATGTTTACGCGTTCAAATCGCTAGCGCTATCTGTATATCCTAGATCATAAGCGTCCCACGAGGTTGCGACAGAATGCCTCAGCAAGCAAAACTATTTACGCTGTATGATCCTTAGAACGTCGCAAAACCCGCATCATGGCTGCAATTTGTCCCAAACCCACTATTATTTCGGGTTGTTTTCGGCTTGTTCAGCTCAAACACCGAAAATGTCGCCGGAAAACAGTCAGATTCAGATGAAATGGGTTATTTTGGGACCACCAACCCACTCGGTCTGTCCATGGATCTTCTGGCATGTTGATTAGTGAGATTTTCTTAATCCGATAGGCTTATGGCATGGTTTTCGCGGGTTTTGCAAATGGTTATGGGTAAGTTCTTGCAGAGGACCTCGGATATTCATAGATCACCGGGACAATGGGGCTCTTCTACTACTTTATGCCAATCTGGATAACTAGACAACGATGCTTCAGTCTACAAAGAGTAATTTCAGCTGAATAAAAAAAAACAATGGCTTATTAGTCCATACGTCACGTTGGGGAGTGCCACTTTGGACCTTTACTATCCTTGTCTAGCCAAGTACTAGTAGCGTATTCTCTCACCCCTACCTCCATCCTTACCCCCCTTTTCATTGTTGAGGAGTCTGTAAAAAAGCGTTTGCTGTTGAATGCAACATTTATACGGGTTTACTTACGGCGGATGGACATTATTTCCAGCCAAATTGTTGAGTTGCAAGCGTTAGCGTGCAAAAAGTGGAAATATTTCCAACTGCGTCACTGTGCGTTCGACTGAAATGTATCGATTGCAGGACCAGATATGTATGACTGATTATAGTGCGTGATCTGCTAGTTCAGGGATTGGTTAGCTGCAAACAGAAACATCTCAACTTTCCTATTTCAAATCATCAGGATATTCCCTACTTAGAACTTTTTTTCCAACTATAGTGGAAGCTTTTTGGAGTCTAGACTACTTGTTGCCAAGATATTTCGCGATTTTGCAATTCGCTTACAACGATTTGGCTTATGTGCAGCGTTCGTGCAATAATTTCGTCTGCGCAATAAATATTCTATGTTCTTTTGGCCATGGACAAGTTGTACGCAACAAATTACCCTGCTGTGCAACAAGTAAGCGAGCTTTCTGAAGTGTTCAATGAGGGCACAACATTGTTTGACTCTGAACAACTTGCAGGCAAGCCTTCTCGCAGTTTTGCAGCTTGCACAAACTTGAAAAAGAGGAATTCCCACTATTTGCGTACGCTTTAGAAATAACATGCAATGAATTGGTGGTTGTACAATTTGCATCTAAGCTTACTAGCATATCGCACTATAGTAAGGGTCTCACTAGGAAACAGGAACACTTGTATGCACTAGAGCAATTCGGATCTACCCGATATGAGTCTACCCGATCCGCAGTGTGAACAGCAGAAGCAATTCAAGTGGTTAGAATTGTCTTTTCCGTGTGTCTTGGATAATAATAAGCGAAGTACTGAGGACAGAGTTATTCGAAAGTAAGCGTAAAAATGCATATTTTACTTTTCTGTAATATAAGAGAACTATTATTGACTACAGGATGCCAGATTACACAACTAAATCTAGCACCAACAGTGGGGATGCCATAGCACTTTTTATAAAGTGTGATAAACACATGAAGTGAAAAAGACTGTTATGGAGTTTAATTGCTCACTCTTTGCTTGCTGTGGCAATTCTGGATGCGTGCACTGGCGTATCGTAGCCAAAATTTGTGCACTAAACGTTGGCTTATTCTCTTTAAAATAATGTAATGTCCAGATTTTTCTGCAAAAGATTCACATGCCTGTGACTGTGACCTCTAAGTTCACTTATAAATAATTCAGCTTGGGAATTTCTTTAGAAAAAAGAAGAGAAAATCAAGTTGGTGGGAAAATTTCCCGTGGATTTCTGCAGAAGCAAACTAAGATCTTAGAAGCACTAAAGAATGTGCGATCGGAGACAGCTTTTTATCTCAGTAGATCTGTGATTACTGTTACTGAGGGGGCGTTGTTCCAGAGCGAGCGCTGGTGGCGAACGGTTGCGCTGCGGGCGGCTAACCTGTTCAAACACGTGACCGCGCCGCATTGTGGGACTGCGGGCGGGTCCAAAGCGACTACATTTGATATGTGTTATACATTCATTTGATTATTAAAAAAACATAGTGGATGATAGAGAGAGCAATTCGATCTGTTGTTTCCATTTGGGAATATTATCACATCAAGGCAAATATAGGCGCAGCGTGGTCGCATGTCACTTATACTTGACAACTAGCAATCGATCAATATTGCTTGCCTGTGACGCTGCGCAGCAAATTTGAACTCGTTCAGGCGCTGACTTCAGTAGCAGATTCTTGAGTTCTCAGTGGACCCTGCAAGCTGCTGCTGCCCTGCGAATGCATAGTTATCTGCCCGACGCTATGAAGTGATTACTAAGCAGACGTCATGGCGTTTATAAAGCGATCGCTGTAGGCGCAGCTGATGTCTGCTGATTAAGCAGTCTTTTTTTAATTTTGTCCAATTTACGTCATCGAGAAGTCTGCAAAATCCCGACGGCCCTGTTCTAGCTCATGAATTCGCATGCTTGTTTTGAAATCTCAGCTTCCTTGTTCCTCTTTTCTGCCAGACCCCATTATAGAGGGGATACTGTAGCTGCAAAAACAGCGTCGCGTTCCTGTAACTACAGTCAACCCTGATTTACGTTGGATCCCTCTGGAATGCTAATTATGCACATGTAGTCACCAAATTGAAATGTGTCGTCCCACGTGGCCTGCAAACAGCTCAATTCGCCGCTGCAGCTCAAAATAACTGTCACTTCGCATCAATTAGAGACCCACGTGACCAGCGGAATTGTTTGTCAATGAGTGATTTGTCATGTCTGCAGTTGGGCGCCAGAGTTTGGCGCAGATAAATCACCTAGAGACGTTTATTTTGGGTTTTTTTTGGGAATGACGTCTTCTAGTCAGTCACGGCTATAGTTTTGCAGCGTCGCGCACGTTCGATGTGGGCGGAGTTTTTTGGGGCTTGTAGAACCCACCCTGGTGACAATGCTTGAGACTGAAGAAATGATGTATTGAAGCAGAAGAGTAGGAGTTTCAGTAATCAATGTTTGGAGCGGGATTCTGCCAGAAATATGGAAAAGCAATGAATAAGCGTTCTTAATCAAAAATATTGATTACTAGTTACAATGACTACACACTATAGTTTACGAATTTTTCGTATTGGTCCGCCATGTGGGAGGTACCTTTTGTAGAAATTTTAGCCAAGCACGTGGTGATACTACCCAGAATGACCTCGTTTCAGTACAAGGCAAACGAACTGGCTAAGAACATCCATGTGCAAAACACATACTCTCGAATGGGATTGAACCAGGGACTTCTCGCCCACTAGCCTAGCTCGCTATCCACTGCGCTACGAAGAAGAACCAGTGGCGTCATTTGCTTCGTGTTTGAGATTTTTACGCTCACGTATTCCATCCACTTCCTTCTTCCTTTGGCAGAAATTGTATTCGGCTTATAAGGTCAATATTCTGTAATACCTAGAACCTGAACTTTCCACTGATTTGGATTAGATTACTGGACTTGATGAACATAAATAGAATTGCTATTTGAAAAGGCCGCTTCGCATGTCGAAGACATGCGAAAATAGCGCATTTTCATAGAACGATTAAAGAACAATGACTACAGTATCGTAGATGGAATTTATTTTTTAGAAACGGACTAGGTTAGTCGTTCATAGATATCGATTTATGAGATGTCCTACTTCTGAAGATACTAAACAACTAGCATGGGCTACATGACCCATATGTGTTCCTTTAATTTTTGGAGGGTTTATATTCAATTTAACACAGTTTTTCCGGAAATGGACATATGTAGTAATCTAGTAATACAAAACAGTAATTTCTGAACAAATACGTGTACTAATGGTGGGAAATTTTATTACAGGAAACTATACTACCAGCAGAGGGTTTATTATATTGTTTGGATTCCTCGTGTCTCATATGTTCTGCGCTCTCCTTAATTGCAGGTTATCTCATCATTACGCGACGGTTGGAGAGTGTAGTGGCCTAAGAGGGCGCAGAGACTGACTTAAAAATCTATTATTTCTTAAGGAATCTATGAGCAAATGTGATCTAAGATTTGAAAAAAAAGGA